CACAGACATGCCAAACACTCTATCCACTCTGCTTCACTAATGTCATGCTAAAGGTAGACCACACCTTGGTTGCCAGTCAATAACATGGCACATCGAGGCAGATTTGACAATCATTCACGTTTAGACCATCATAGCACTCCCTCCTTTCATTTTTCTGGCATTCTCCATATCTCTCTATATATCTCTGTCAGATATTCATGGTTCTTCCAGCGCATCTCTTTGTTTTCCTACTGTCATTCCCTAAATCGCTCCTTATATTTCAAGCTATCTCGGTGTATGTTATCTTTCCCCCCCCACTTCATTTTTCATCCACTTGTTTACTCGTACAGTACACATACCGGGAGGCTCACCATCATCATCATATCTCTCTCTCTCACTCTGTCTCTCTCTTTCTCTCTCTCTCTTTCTTTCTCCCGTTCTCTTTCTTTCTCTCTTTCTCTTTCTTTTCTCTCTCAGGTGTGTTTTAGTCGTGTCCCTGCTATGAGTCGAGCTGAGGATGTCAATTACAGGACTATGATAGGGCTCCTCTTGCATTATGCATGGCAGTGTCCCGCTGGGGAATAAATGGCCTACAGCCAGGGATGATGGATGGAGGGATGAATAATGGATGGAGAGATGGAGGAAGGTAACGCTATGGCAATCTGTGTCTCCCTAAATTGAAGACTTGCCCTGGCACACACCTGAAGCTCAGGGCCGTCTCACCCAGGGTGAGTCGTAGTCATGTCGTTGTCACATGAAAGTCCACAAGCGGGCTTTAATCACTATTTCATGTTATGACCTAAGATTCATTTTGATGAAATATATTTAGACTTGGATTTGTAAAATAGTTTGCTTGTAAACTTTCCACCGATGTGATCGATTACATCGGATCACCAAAATTTTGCATTTTAAGCAAAAGTTATCAACTGCATTGTATCAATTTGCCCATTAGATCAATGTCTTAATTCGCAGATCCGATCAGTGATGTCATTGATAACTAAAGGTACATTTACATGACAGATTTAGTAAAAACTGGGTTTCAATGTAGAGTACGTTCCCATGCATGTGAACTGCAGAAGCTTACTGCATGTAACTCTAGGCTTGTTTTGCGTTTTTTTTTTTTTTTTTAGGTGGATTCTTTGCAACATCTTCCAAAAAGGGAAGAATCTCATGAGACTCCTCAGAGTCGTCTCATATGATTTCATCATTTCCATCTATTCTGCTACAAACTTTACTGGAAACAAATGTGCGCTGCCCCGTAATCCGCAAACTTGATTTCAGCTGCGGCTCGTGAGTCCTCCGTCGGCATAGAAAGTAAAACACACAGCTAAAAATGCTCAACAATGGCAAAGAATAAAAATCAGTTTTTTTTTTTTTGTTTTTTTTTTTAATGGTGCTCATGAACCCTAATCGATGACCACGAGTAGCTTCAACTGCAACACCGTGCAACTGCGATGAGCTACTACAGGGAGCTACAGAGCCACAGTTCTTTGAAAGATAGTAGGACCACATAATATTCAAATCTATCTATTGTGAAAGAAGGTGTACCAGCACATGAACGATGCTTTGCCGCATGTGAAAGTCCAACCATGCGGGGAGCCTTGACGGGTCCCCGATGTCAACTATTGTCAGTCACTGTATCAACGAACGTGAAAGATGCTGTTGTTTGGTGTCCCCGGCCGTGGTGGGATGTCACCGTTTGTCACCGTGGTGATGGATTCCGCCTCCCTCCGAGGAGCGTGTGCAAACGCCGTCGCTGAAGGGCTGTCTTTGTGTTTTCATGCTCGCTCACGCACATGTGCGCCGCTGGAACGGACAACAAAGGCATGCTTATCCAATTGGAGGGGAGTAAGATTAGGCTCCAAAGACAGTCATAAGGCTAATGTTAGCGTCCGCCGCTCCGGCGAGCGCTTTTGTCAGAGTAATCAGGAGAAACGTGGGATTACATTTGAGACGTATACCCTTTTGTATGATGTCAACATGTTGCTAAACAACAGAAGCTGCTTTCTATCTGATTAACTCTCCTCAGAGACAGAACAGATAGACGGCTCTTTTGAACATCAGCTTATTACGCTCTTAAATTGATTGTTAAGCCGACACAATTTTTAGTTTCTTGCGTTTGATTTCAAGATGACAGTGTTGCGCAAGCAAAATATAATCACTCTTCCATCTCATGCTGTATTCGATTTCTAATATAACCTTAATGACAGCTGCTCATAGTGGTCGGTATAATATTTGATAATGACACTATCACAGGAGACTCACTTTGCAACAAAAAACGTTTTCCTACATTAGGCGTCCATAATGGAACGGTTGCACTTGCTTTATGGGACTTGGTGCATTCGTCATTCACTCCTTCAAAAAATGCAGAAACATGCTCAGTGCTAGCCCATGAGAAAACTTTTTTGCGTGACATTGATACGCTCTTAAATTGATTGTTAAGCCGACACAATTTGGCCTCGCTTTACTTGCTCTTTTTATTTTCTTGCGTTTGATTTCAAGATGACATTGTTGCGCACGCTCTTAAATTGATTGTTAAGCCGACACAATTTTTAGTTTCTTGCGTTTGATTTCAAGATGACAGTGTTGCGCAAGCAAAATATAATCACTCTTCCATCTCATGCTGTATTCGATTTCTAATATAACCTTAATGACAGCTGCTCATAGTGGTCGGTATAATATTTGATAATGACACTATCACAGGAGACTCACTTTGCAACAAAAAACGTTTTCCTACATTAGGCGTCCATAATGGAACGGTTGCACTTGCTTTATGGGACTTGGTGCATTCGTCATTCACTCCTTCAAAAAATGCAGAAACATGCTCAGTGCTAGCCCATGAGAAAACTTTTTTGCGTGACATTGAAGTATCTTTAATAGGTTTGTCACGGCCTTACCATCGTGGAGACGTACCCAAATACAAATTCTTCAACCCATGTCAGGTCAACAACAACAGTTGGGACCGTTTAAGATCTCGTGAGCATGAGAAGACCCCACCTCAACAAGCCGGTGTTGTTACACAGACCAAGAGAAAGAGAGTGCATTCATCTTCACCTCTGTGACCGCTTATCCTCCTCCATTCTCCCATTGCAGACCCCCCCCCCCTCCCCCGACAACCCTTGCCTCCACAGTCCCCAGGCCACTCGGAGATGCTTACGTAAGACACAAGTGAACAATATTGAGGAAATGTCTTCGGCCGTGACCTCGGCTTTTGACGTTTTATCACTCTTGTTCTGTCAGGGCGGTCTCATGGTTAGCAGTCACATGTCCCGCGTTCCTATGCTGGAATGTTCTGGAAGTATGACTCATTCCATTAATGGGCTGCATACGGTCGGCATCACTGTAAACTGCAACGATCCTCCTGTCGATCTCCCGCTCCATCCTTCCCTCACTCGTCAACAAGACCCCTAGATACTTGAACTCTTCCACTTGGTCAGGATTTCATCCCAGACCTGGAGAGGATACTCCTCCCTTTTTCCGACTGCGGACCGGACCGTGGCCACAGATTGGAGGGTGCTAATTCTCAGCTAAAAAATAAATCATCAATTATGATCAAAATCTGCGACATGGGGCAGCCTTGGCTGAGTCCAACTCTTATTAGAAACAAATCTGACATACTCAGCAGCAATGCAGCCCAAATGCTGACACCGGTCATACAACAACTGAGCAGCCCATATGAAAGGGTTCGAACTCACTGAGGAACACGTTTGAAAGCCTTCAAAGTCCACAACACACATCAATCACCAGTTCATGTGCAGTCAAATACCAGATCGTTACACAGTGCCAATTTATGATCTTTTTACAAAAAGCCATTAAGAATGGATAGTGTGTGAACTGTTGGTTAGCTCACATTTGCTAAAAATTACATTAGAATGTAATAGCTAACAAGCTCCTTAATTCCTTCCTTCCTTTCTTTGTTGCGCCATCACTTTCATAATTTTTCACTGTTGTTCGTGGCTAATGAGGCAATTGGATTCGTGAGAACCAATGCTGTTTACAAAGAAAAGATCCATGTAAGCAAATGCTCGGATTGTGTATTCCTTTGAAACGTTATGCACATACCGAATGTTATCATGATAACTGTAAGCAGAGCCAGCACATCCCGTTTATACTTGAACTTCTGAGGCGCTTCATTTCAAACCATATCATAAGTGAAACCATATGTTCGATAGCCGCCTGTCAAATGAAATTGTGACAATCCCCGCGAACCAGTAAATCACATGTGGATGTGCAGTAATTACAGATCATTTTCTAAATATAAGCTTACCCGGTCGAGTATTTTCCTTTGGGTCTGAAAAAGCTTAAAAGAGTCAGGGCATGTTTTCGATACAAAATTTACAGCATTGCCTTGAAGTCATGTGTCAAATAAAATCCTCTTAAAACTGCAAATTTAATTTAATTGATTTCACCCACTGGTGGTTGGCGATTGCTCTCCTGGAGAGATTCTAATGGATTCGGCTGTTCCTTTTGGCTGGGCCGCTTAAGACGAAATTGTTTTGTTGAATCTAATGTTGTCTAAACTTTCTGGAACAATAAGTGGGTAAAATCAGATCAAAATGTCTAATCTGGAATTATGTGTCTTCCTTTTGCGTGCTAGCTTGCTTTTTTTTTCTTGGGCTTTTTCTGACGGTAGGATTCCGTCGAAAAATATATGCAAAAAGTAGGAAATGTATACTACTTTGGGGGGGGGGGGGTTGTGAGTGTAAATATGTCGTAAAGGTCTTGAAAGCATGCTTATGGGTAGCCATATCCACATCGTTTTGCTCATTAAATGCACTATATTTGTCACATTCATGTTTGACGAGCAAAATACAATTTCACGGCTGAATAGATTTTGTGGATTGACATGAAAATGTGATGATAGCCACTGCTTCAGTCCAATAATAAACTTGTGCTGCGGTGACGCTACAAAATCCTGGTGATGTCACATTGGTCTTTCCTCGCAGTCACTTACCATTAAGTTTGTTTCATGTCAAATTGCGACTGTCTTTCCCTTACCACTGTCCTTTGTTTCCTTCCAGCCCCCACATCATTTTCCTGTCTCAGAGTGTGCTGCATGTTGGCAGCTCATTTCCGAGAGAAAACAGCCTGTCCTTGTGTGGGTCCAGGCTGTGCCACGAGATTGCCCACTCCTGGTTCGGCCTGGTCATCGGGGCCAGAGACTGGACAGAGGAATGGATCAGCGAGGGCTTCGCCACCTACCTCGAGGACATTATCTGGGCCCGAGCACAGCAAGTATGGCGCACTCTCGTTCTATTTTACAGCGGCTATTTCGTGTAGCTTATCTGTCCCAGCATTTCGGAAAGACCACGTGATAGCACAGTTGAAATCGCGATATCGATGCTGTCTTGAGGAGAGTGAGAAATAACATCATATTTTTCCGTGTAGCTCCGTAGTTAACTGCCATGGATTTTCTCCGGGAAGATGTTTGGCTCCGAAGACAGGTGGTAAAATTACAAGCAGAAGGTTTCCATTATCCTCCCTGTTCTCGTGCAAGCAACCCTTGCTCTGCGTTCAAATAGCTTCGCAGTCACATGATCAAAACATCAGCAGCTGAAGACAATATACTCTGTGTATTCCCACATGGATTCAACTGCTGGGGTCAAGGCGGGGTACAGTCTGCATTTGTGCGGTCCGACTGATCCAGATATTTGCCATCTCATTTACAGCTTTTCTGAGTAACCTTGTGCTAGATTTGCTCTGTTTTGTTTTTAGCTTGCCAAAAACAACAAAGAGTTAATAAAGTATCGGAGATGTGTGCTTGGTCCAGTCTTAAAATCAACACACTTTTCAAAGTTAAATATAATGAACACTTTAGCACAATCCCTTCAGACACACTGGTGTGGTGTTGTTTGTTTATACAATAGGCCCACGTTTTCATTCGCAAATTTGTATGTTTGATGATTTATATTTTATTGTGATTATTATTATTATTATTTATTTTTACGATCCGTCCTATTCTGCTCACTGAAAACTTCCACAGTATCATGACAAAATCACTGAATCTCATCTGGCTTCCTCCGTTACTCCATGCATACTTACTTCTGCATATTACATGACATGCACATGTTTCTCCGTGCAGCTTTCTCTGCCGGAAGCGACAGAACTGTCCAACTTGAAGGCTCTGCTGCGGTGGAGAAGACTGTCTGACGAGTTGCAAAATTCAGGAGAGGAACTTCAAATTCTCAGGTGCGTCGCTCATGCCTTGGAACATCTCCATCTTTGACATGAACAAAAATGAACCGTTGCTGATAAAATGGTGGATGAACATGACAGTTTCATTTTTTAAGCACAATGTAAACCCCAAATTGAGAAAAAGTTCATATCCCGATTTAGGATATGTTATACCCCGATAACGATGTAGTATTTTTCCTTAAGATTACATGTAATGGAGTCTCTTGCTTTCTGAATGTTCTTTTGTTTCTTTAGTTTTTTTTTGTTTCATACTTAGCGGACTAAAGCTGCCTGGGGGATTTTTGCCGCAGCCTGAACTAAGCCCAACTTGCCTTAGCTGATGTCATGTTGTACGTCTTTGGAACGCAAATGAGTTGCGACTGAATCAACAGCATCTGCTGGTCGCAGTCAAGTAGTGCACTCCGTTTTGACTCAGTTTCTCTATGGAATTCTGACTCGACGCCCTTCCTAGTATGTACTGTATGTCTGGTTGAATCGCTTCATTACTTGCAAAAAGTTTAGTTTACATTGAAATAAGAAAGGCGTGACGAACTACACAACCTTACACTTTTGTGTACCTTCTTGAGTGAACTCGGCCTTTGTCTGCTGACATCCCGGTATGTGGCTATGGTAAAAGCATTCCAGAACTGCAGGTGTGGCAGGGGTGGCTACAGAGTACAATAAGTTATCCAGGTGAAGTGTGCTGTCATGTCCTTTAGAAACTCTTAGTGCGGCTAACACGAGGGCACGCATGTTTGCACGTGCGGACACACACGTACAGGTACACACGTACACGCAAAAACTCAGAAGCTGCTATTGTGACGTCTTGACCCGCAACCTGTTTGTTTTATCCAGGGTGGAACCTCAGTGCCGTCAGTGGATTATGCTGCATACGGAAAACCTCTGCTGGATGTTAATTGTTGCAGGGTGGGAATATTGTACCCCGCGATTTTGATTAACCAACTCTTGCAGCATATCAGCCTCTTATTGATTTTTATCGTACTTCTTATTGGCATTGCCTTCAGATATGTCACTCTTCAAATAATGTGCTTTCTGAGCATAATGAAAACAGTTAAGTTGTCAATTTTACCCTCTGCTGAGCAGTGTTTGATTGAAGAGACCAAGTGGTATCAGCTGCTTTTACACTGCCTGTTAAAGCGAGGAATTGTATGGGCACTGGGGGACAAAGAATTAGTGGTGTCTGACATGTAAAGGAGGTTACTGTGGCAAAGGGAATGGCGGGACACAGATGTGAACTCAACACCTCACACTCACTTGTCCATCCCCGTTGTTTTGTAAGCCGCAACCGATGTTTCACGAATTGACATCATCTGATGGCATGATTTGTCAACTTTTCTGCCGAACGTTGGCGATAATCAGGGTGTCTCCTGAGCCTCTGTCATTAGTGACATTTAGCGATATGTAGTGATGCTTTGGGACAATGCATGAATGTTTGGGAAAGTGTTTGCCTAAAGACCAAGGGCAACTTTAAGTGGCTATTTGGGGCATCATTGCAAAGGTTAGCAACCATTTTCCACTCCTGCAAACCGTCCCCACAGCTTTCAGATTTCTGCTGTCCTCCCTCAAAGATGGTTATGTGTAACATACACAAAAAAACTTACAAGTTGGTGCAGGCTTGGCGCTGTATGCAAATTTCTCTTTCACAAGCTGCTTCATCACTCCCTTTTGTTATTTTCTTGAGTTGAACAAAATAACGTTGGACAACTGCCTTCAAGAGACGATAGCTTTTAACAGTATATCTTATGCCACTGCGTTGAGTCCGTGAGCAAAGATAAGTAGCTACGGACAAGATAATAGTGTCATTTTGTTTCCACAACACCTTTTGCTCCTTATGGCCTGAACCTCATCCAAACGGTGCCTTGTTTTTCCCTGATATATTCTTTTTAAAACAGTCTTAGCTCGAATGGGTCGATGTTTATTAGGGACCCTGGTAACCATGCCCATGTGGTCTCTCGTATTGGCGAATCAAAAAGAACTTTGGCGACGCGTTGCTATGTTCACAAGCATTCCCGCTCCGTGAGAGTTTTATTGTGCGACCGAATGAGCGAAGGGTTAAACTTAGAGTCGTGTCTATCTGGCCGTCTTCATCAGGGTACTCCCCTATGCGACAGACAGACACGCGGGTGATTAGCAGGATCAGGATTAGGTTTCTCTGCAGCTGACAGGCTTGAATAAACAACACACCAAAAAAAAAAGAAAAAAAAACCATCAGAAATTCACTCGTGCATACCCGCCCTTTTCTTACCGTATATATGTCACGGATGATTGTCTGACAAAAGGTTCACCGCCATTTCCCAGCCTTAGGCATGAATGGAATACAAGGGTCACAAGAAGGTGGGAGAGAGACAACATGTCACCCATTGATTCTGCCTCTCGTACCGTCTTCCCATTCACTGTGTCCACATCGCGACTGCGTGGCAACACAACACAAATACACACGGCAGCTATCACAATGCGCAGAGGAAAGGTTGAACAGAATGCCGTGAGGGGCAGAGAATGGGAAGCGCCGCGAGATCCACGAGCAGTTCGATGCTCACAAAGGCGAAATGTCAGGTTGCGCTGTCCAAGTTCAGTGGGTCACAATCGACGGCCGCTCGTCCAGCAGCGGGTGGCCGGTGGCCAGTGTTTATCAGTGCCTTTCAGATGAGTTATATTTAGGGTGGCGCAGGCCAAACACTATTCTCCCTGCTGATTTACTGGGCTGCTGGGAGCACTGCTCTACCTTATCCGGTTTCCACAGTCAACCTAGTGTAATTTGTCAGGATATGGCGGGCGGTGCTATAAACCTCTTGCGTGTGCGTTGTGCGTGTTAGTGGGTGTGTGCCTGTGCGCGTGTGTCCCTTTGACATGAAGTTCTGTCAGTAATAGCTCCTTATTTCCTCCCGCGCTTTCCCTTGGTCGCTCAATCTCAGACACACCCAGGTAGGTGCATGTGTGGCCATGCGCACACAAGAACCGACGCACACCCGCCCTCTCGCACATTGTGGCCTACGAGGCAGATAAGAGAAGCATTTATTTTGAAATACACGGACCTATTGTACGATTCTCCAAGGCAGCGAGCAGTGATTCCTCCTAAAGCTGCACTAAATCATCTCTGACAAAGAGCGACAGGGATTTACACGTCCGTACATGCCAGATTTGGACAGTGGCAAGGGTGGAGATCCTTTTGTGTAATACGCCAGTGATGGATAAATGTTTATTTTCCCTTGCCACGTTATGCCGCCGATGTGTTTGCCGCGCATATCTTTCAGAAATACAGCTTCTGTCATTGTATTTGTCCCATTCCTCAGTTGCTCTTTGGTTCTTTAATCCCCTGCCTGACAGTCACTTCCCACATAAATTCCACTCACACTTGCTGTACGATTTCCCAGGGATAGTGCATATCCCGCTGACCGCAAAAAAAAAAAAAAAGTCTGTTTCATCTTATCAGCAGCAGCAGACACACGTTGACACAACGGGTATGGGAGTGGACAGACAGCAAGTGTAACCTATGATATAAGTGATTCAAATATCATGCCGATTCTTTCAACGCCATTTTCCATGTCAGTGCATGTGTTCACTGCTTCGACATTACTGAGATTTTTTTTTTTTTTTTTTAACCTAAATCAGGTCACTCGGTGTCATTTATGTGACAGATGCAAACGCATACATGGAATCAAACGCCCTCAGATGCATGATGAAAGTCCCTCGCAAGAGTTGTCCAGACAAATTTAGAAATTCCAGGAAGCTGATGACTTCCTCTCTCAGTCCACCGAGCAAACTAAACATTCCTATCTCTCGCCCATTCTCCGTTTCTCCCACATGTCCTCCTCCGCTTGCCCTCAGACCTAATTGACTTCATGTGACTTAACGTTTCTGTTCATTGTGCATGGCCGACAATTGGATACAAACGTGAAGCAATTCAAGGTTAAGGCGGGCGTAATGCAAATGTTCATTTTGTCGATCACGTGAAATTTGAATGGCGTTATGCTTTGCTTGTCAAAACGATATTTTAGTCATGCCCAAACATTTTATTGCTTGGACGGGCTGCAGACCAATTCTAGATAGAAAGTCAAGAGAATAACATCAGTTTGTCATTTTTTGTTCGTTCGAAACTTTGTAAATCATGTGAAATTTGATCAATCCTATCAGCGGCGTCGCAATGAATTTGACAATTTTTGTTTAGCGTGAAATTCCAACGATGTAACTTTGGAGTTGTTATGTAATTGTTGAGTCTTGAAGTAGGAGGCATATTTCACTCCTTTGTAGTGATGAGCAAGTGATAAAACCCCAACCAATTTGCTGCCTAAATTGGTTTGACGAATGAAAAATAAAGATTACATTACATTAAAGGTTTTTTTTTGGGGGGGGGGGTGTTTTTAAGACTTTAGGTTGTGTCACTGGGGTTATGTTTTTAAGACGTAATGACTTCCGATCGGGGATAAAGTACCAACTTGTAGGCTGCCTAGATGAGTAGCAATCTATTTGTCGACATTTGCTTGTTGTGAAATTTCAACAGTCGTATCAGCGGAGTGATGTTGTTGAACCAGGTAACACATTTTGGGGAGAACTAATTGGCTGCCTAAATGAGTTGAAAACCAAATATGAATAAAACATTACCAGATTATATTATAGTGTTAATTGCACTTTACGTTATTATTGATTATTATGTCTTTCAGAAATGGAGGACTATACGACATCACTATGTTTCTGTCATGTTTTTCTTATGTCACAAAGTCATTTAAAGCGACTCTATACAAACAATTAAGCAATATATGAAGTCATGCATGTTTATTTTTTTGCAAAATTAGACATCATTTGACTAAACTTAGGGCTTCCTGTGCAGCAACCATGTGACTTTAGGCGCATGGTTTTTGGACTCCCGCGTCCGCCTGTGTGTTTATTTGACATCCCTGTCATGAGGTGGAAAAGTGGTAGCTGCTGATGAGGGGGGCGTATTGATTGGTGGGCCAGGTGCCTGCCACATCGATTTGTCAGCAGGGCCATCCTTCAAGGCCTTCCTATTGGCACACTCAGTTAATCTGCTCAGCTCGATCAATACAGGCTAACTGGAACTATCATTGCACAGCGTCCCACGTCACTCACCTGTTTGTCTGGGATTTATCGGGTTAGTAGGTGTTTGTTTATACTTTTTACGGAGGGGTTCAAGGAATGATTTGTATCTGTGTAACAGGGAAGTCCGGCATTGGCTTCTCCTCCGCGGGCTCTCGGAGTGCATGTCTTGTGTTATTTGTTCCCCTGGTGAGTCACGGGCAGTAAAATGTAAGCAGCGTTTTGCTATGAGGTCATATAAACACTGTATTGCGTGCTTTTATGAAAATGCACGGTGCCTCGGGCAACGCACGGCAGCAAGGTGTTAACCACTGAAAAGACGAGCTGAGTCGTTGAATTTAATGCTGCTGACATTGTATTTTTACTCTGTAGAAACGGTGTGATTCCCCACCCACGACCACCATCACCACACACATTTCTGGAACGCATTCCTATCTCGCTCATGTTGTTGTTGTTGCCGTTCTCATTGTGAAGTAGAGTGTTTGTCTGCTCTGATTTTCCTTCTGCAGACCCAACATGGACAAAACAGGCCAAGTCAGTGAATCGGGCTCCTCCACAGTAAAACATGCCCTCAACCCAGAAAAATCCTTCCTGCAAGTCCACTACCTCAAGGTGAGATCACTGGAAAATAGGACACAATGATTGGAAAACTAGTCGGAACTAAAATGTGTCGCTAAAAATGACAGCATCAAGCTGTTACTGCACATTGCGAAAAATATGTCTTGATTTTGTTATCGTGCCTTGGTGTTATACTGGTCTGTGTGTCGTCTTGGTGAATGCAAGTCTTACTGGCAGATGGGTGTATGAACTCTTGCCTAGCACAGTGTTTCAGTGGGTTCAGTGGTTCCAGGGTTCGATTTATTTCTCTCTTAGCATCTGTGGAAAGTGTGTTTCAGTGGGTTCAGTGGTTCCAGGGTTCGATTTCTCTCTTAGCATCTGTGGAAAGTAATTTATTTCAAGGAGTCCTGCCATTTCCAGTACGAGTTAAATACAGGGGCTTATTCTCACGAGAATTTAGAAGGATTTGTGTAACAAGTAACAAACACTGTATTTGGTAAACTAAACCCTTGTCTCAATTTAACCTCGATGAACATGATGCTATTATTGCCTCAGCTGGGGTTTTCTCAAGCCTTTTTGATTAAAACACAACAAAAATATTCCTCACCTTACATAACCTCCAAAGAAGTCCAAGTCATCACTTTTCAGTTCTTAGAAAAAAGAAAAACGGCACGTTTGTTGAATCAAGATCCATACGTACTGTAGGAGGCTTCTGCTTTCTCATTTTATCATCCACTAATTTATTGCACTACATTGCTTACATATGATTTTCGACCTCTGGAAATTTAAACATGCATCGTACTTACAAATGGCCATCCACAAGCCACTCGTTGAGAACCGTTACTGCTTCTATATTATGTCTGCTATAATAGATGCCTTGCTTTTTGCTGTTTCTCTCCATTTTGTTTTAAACTCCACTTTCACTCAATACCATCTGGAATGTAGCAGTAATATTGCTTGATGCTCATTTTAAAACTCAGGTTGACCTAATTAAGGCGCCCTCACAATAGACACCACCCTCTTAATACACTCCTCTCACATCTACACTTGAGTAAATAAATAACCCCCGACCACTACTTGCATAACTGTTAGATGATGTCCTTGAATGATTCCAGAGCGAACCTTACCGATAATTCTGTGTTATTTGCTTGTCCCATCTCTTATAGGGCTACTTCCTCCTCATGTTCTTGGCGAGTCAAGTGGGAGAGCAACAATTTATTCACTTCTTCAGATTATTTGTGAAGAAATACCACGGGCAACTCATTTTATCTCAGGTGAGCCTCCAGTTTAAGGACCTAATTTCCACTCGATGGCGTTAATTGGGAATCTTCATGGTGGCTCGCAGCTTCCTCCGCGCTTGTTAATCAAATCTCGGCTCCGATTTGAACCGTTTAATGTGACCCGGCCTCCCAGGCGCTATGTTATTTCCATAAATTAATTGGATGCTGATGCGTTCTAAGCTTGACTGCCACTGTGTTACAATAGTCCCCCCCCCCACCACCCACCCCAAATTGATGACCACACATCAGCCTAGCAGCGTGTATTTATCCGACTGGTGTCTGAGGTACCACACCTGTGTGAATGCCTGTGTGCGTGTGTGTGTATGTACATGTGATACATTCCACCTGGCTGCTGTTGTCGTCTCGCTAAGTAATGTATCTTATCTAAACAGTTTGGCATCAAACACCTAACTAAGGTCTTACACACTCTCTTACGCACCTCCCCTAATGCCTCCCTTTCTATTGATCATTGTTTGACAGGATTTCCTGCAAATGCTGCTTTCCACCTTTCCTGACCTTGCGAGGTATGTACTGTGCTCAAAGTACTTATGGGCAATACTTCGTTTCATGAATAATTGACTCAGAGACACAAGGCTTTATGTGTCCTGGCTGGGCTTAAGTACTGGTTGGCAGAGTTCTGGCGTTGGTGAAATGTGTCCTCATCGGCTCCAATTAGGTCACACCTGAACAATGTCTATTTCTCAAACTTTGTCAGACCCCAAATGGAAGTGTGATTCCTTCCCAGGACCCAAAATGGATGAAAATATAATCGATATATACATTACATACAGACACGGGGGCCAGCGCATTGACCTAGTTAGCATGTGTGCCTCACAGTTCTGAGACTCGGGGTTTGGATCTTGACTTGCGTGTTCTCCCCAAGTTTGCATGTGTGCTCTCTGGGAACTCTGTAGGTGTTTCAAAACAATGCGTGTTAGGTGGGTTGAAGACTTAATTGGTGTGAGTGTGGGTAATGGTGCGGTTCAAGAACAGAAGAAAATCATTGAAATGTCAAATTATTTATGCAATATTGATTACACAATAGTGTAATTAGTTCACATGGTGAATGTGCGGTTTTTCTTAACTGTAACGAGGCATAATCATCAACATTATGAAAAATAAATCAACAAATGGTCAAGTATTTGTCGTGACTCAACATAATGAGTATTCGATCTTTGAATAAATGTTGCCATTACATTTTTATTTATTGCAATACACCTGTAAATGTGCTCTGCTCCTGTCTGGCGACCAATCCAGGGTGTGGTCTCTTGCCCAAAGTAGGAATAGGTTGCAGCTCACCTGCTACCCTAATGAGGACAAGCGCACTAGAAAAAGGATTGATGGATGGAAAACAGACAAGGAATTTCTGTTAGGTTAAATCAACAAGTGGTGTATGAGGGGTTAGGATGTTTGCCTCACAGTTCTGAGGTTTGAGATTCAACTCTTAATCTTGAATCCAGCCTTCCTGTGTAGTATTTGGAGTTTCTTCCTTTGCTGCGTGGCTTTTCCCCGGGTCCCAGGACTTCCTCCTACTTTATACATTTTAAGTGATTTGATGACCCTAAATTGTCTGTGGATCTGAATGTGTGTGTGTGTGTGTGTTTGTGTTTGTGTCAATTTCTGTGCCCGGCGATTGGCTGATGACCACTCCAGGGTGTACTCTGCCTCCACTTGGGCAAAGGCAGCTCTGGCTTAGGCTGAAGACAAGCGCGATAGTGAGTGGATTGTTGAATAAATCAGAAGGGCTTTGCCCTGCGTGATGATCAATAAAATAGTTGGCAGAATTGTATTTTTGGTGACCCAGTAAAATAAATAAATAAATGCCCAATTTGGCGGTGTCAATCAAAACGGACCATTATCCAAATGCATGCATTTCTATTGAGCTCATGTATTGTGGTGCAGGTGTGTTGATATGCATTGTCCTGAGCAACTTAAATTGTTATGATTTGGAGCAGAACTTAGTATCAGGAGAGTCTGGACGGATTTGGCCTTGATTCTCATCGATTCTGCTCAGTGACGGCTGGGCCCCAACATCAATCCTTGTAAGCACAAGTCTCATCCACTCCAGTATTAACTGAAGTGTAAAAGGACAAGCGCTCCTCCCGCTCTCCTCCTCTCTAATTTTCAGCCTCCTCTCCGGCACTGGCTTAATCACTCAATTCTCTATTTCTCATGATTGCCTCATTAACCTCTCCCACTGTCCGTCTCCCTCTTCCTCGTCAGGCCCCGCTTACTTGCATCCGTCTCCTCGTGGCGCTCGCCTCTCCGGCCTTCGGCAACATTCTGTCTGCTTTCAGAATTGTTGTTCTTGGGTTTTTTTTTTTTTTTTGTCTCTCTCCCATGTGCCTGCCTGATGAGGAGAAATTTATTGAATTAAGCTAAGGAAGTTGGAGATGGTCAATATTTAGGTCTGATGCTTCTTCCAGTAAACACACTCGGAGAGCCACATTGGAGGATGTGAGTGGGCACTCGCTGCATTCATGTTACAGCCATTCCCTGCGGAGTACGCCACTAAACCATCCCAACATAAAAAACAAAGAGCAGAACATAAAATGAAGTGGGGGGGGGTAAACATGCACATTAAAATAAGTCACTGATTGCGACAGGGAATGCAGTCCATTCATCAAGAATCATTTGTTTTCATCCACTCACTACACTGCTGATCCACATTAGGATCACATGTGAGCTGGGACCTCTCCTGATTGACTTTGAGCCAAAGACAGTGCACACCCTGGACTGGTCACCAGACAAGCATGAACACTGACATTTACACTTTTTTTTTTTACACTTTAGAGTCTTTTATGAAAGGACAGCAACTCAAACGCAGAACCTCCGAATTGTGAGGTCAATGTGCTAACCACTGGTTTACCATCCTACTGGTATTCATCCTTGATATTCTGCAGCTGTTTTCAACACATCCAGGATTTCCTTAAATTGTAGGCCTCAGCGTTTTTTTTTTTTTTTTAAGCAACTGAAGAGTATCAGGCATTTATTTTTTTCATGGACACTCTGTTGAAGTATGGCAATAATTTGAGGGAGGAAGCCTTAAGTTAGAAACTGTAAATGTTTATGTCAGGGTGGACATGCTGCCTTATGTCTGTGTTGCAGTGAGAATGGAGTTTCTGTCTTACATTAGTGGTTTCTATTTTTGGATCCTTTTATTCTAAATTTCCATGAATAATCCAATGTGGTTGGAGGTGGAAACGATTGTTCCCTCATACTCATCTACATTGACATTTTTTTTATCAAGATAAGCTTCCACTATTCAACAACAAAACTCAAAAGATTGCATCTCTTCTGGTGTTTTTTTTCTTTTCTTGCACCACTAGCATACATCCATGAAAATACTTCAAAGAATACTCAGCTGCTAGTTAAGCTAACCCCAAGCCTACAATTACGAGACACCACGGCCGCTGCTGGCGTCAGAGATGATGGAACAGCGCAGATTGTCCGCCAGGCTATGGCACGAGTTGTCTCACCCCCACTGAGCCTAAACATCGGGGACATTTTTCAGAAATGTTCAGCAGAACTCGTGAATAACTAACTGCATGTCCGCAGTAAGCGACAACCTTGCACCATGTGCTGCTCACAAGGACTGGCCATTAACGGTGAAAATTTGTGACATTATCATCATTTGGGTTTTTTTTTTCTTCCTCTTCACCAAAATGTAGATAACTAAGGCATTAGTCAAGGTTAGAAGACCAGACTTCCAAGTCACTTCCAAACAGCAGTCACTTTTTGTCCTACACCTTCAGATGTCTGCTAGATAGATGATATTGAAAGGAATTTCACCTTTCAGCATAATAATTACCAAATAATTACTTTATTAGGCAAAAATGTATGTTTTGGAGTGACTCAGCCAGAGTCCTGACCTAAATCCAATCGAAAATCCGTGGGGTGAAGATCTGCCATCGCAATAGGACACATTCTTAAGGATCTCGCAAGGAAGTGTGCTTTCAATTTCATGATTTTTTTTTTTTTTTGGATAGGATTTGGTTAAAAATAGCGCAGCATTGTCTCATTCATTTACAGAGAAAATAGACATTTGTTAATATTGACTCAATATGTGTTTATTTTCAACTCCAAAGGTTCAACAGAAAAGTTTGATTAGAAAATAAGTTGTTTCATGGCTTCACCCACACACATTAATGTGCTATGGATGAGTCAGTTTAGCCAAGTGTGGAAATTCCCTTCAAGCCCAGACCAGGAATAACGATGTGGAAATATGTCGCATTTACCATGATCCTTGGTGTGTACTTTGTATGCTTGCTGAATTATAAACACTCTTGGAATTTTTGCATGCATGTTTCTGTTTATGAAGCATTGGGGTCACAGCATGTGTGCCGTGACTTTCTAGGCCGCACGCATCTCCTGTTTACTCTGCCGGCCTACATTCAAATTCACCTCATTGTTTCGACATGCCTCTGTGGGTGCGCCCCACGTTTTGTTTAAGGTGGTGGCGCAAACTCCAGTTCTGCTGGTAACCGAGGAATATATTCCCAGAGCCTTGACTTCATTGGGCAATAACAGTCATTGCCTCAATAATAATAGGGAAAATACTAACACTCATGCCATTGTGTTGTAGAAAAGGCCTAACCCTCGACACTATTTATGCCGATTGGCTGGATCGACCAGGAGTTCCCAAGGTGAGGTTTTCTTTTCTTGCTTCTTAACGGTTCATTTTAGTGTTCATACGTCCAACTTTGAAATGGATCATTGCGGCTGGGCTGTGTCTGCAACACACATGTAATGTTTCACTGTTGGCTCACATAAATCACTCCACTTATGTTCTTGCTTTTTCCAATTAAATGAGAAGCAGCAAGTCACATGCGTCTTATTAAGCATTCATTGCGATGCATGGCAAATGCATGCCAAGCCTTATAATCCCAGCCTACACTAAACAGGTAGCAGCCAATGAATGAGTTATTTCTTTATTTCTTTATTTATTCATTCCGCATACACAAACTATTTGTATGGCAACAAGCAAAAAAAAAAAAAAAAAGTTTTGTTTTCATTTTAATTGTAACGTGATAGACGGGACAAAGTATAATGCAGAAGAAGCAAATCAAAATTGACAAGAGCCGAGAGGAAATTGAAGGGCAAAAAGAATGCAAAAAGAAATAGGCTTCGTCGACGTCCTGATGCTAAAGTTCACTCTATAGTTCAGTTTTGTTTGTAATATTATCTAATTGTTTGCAATACATGGCAAATGCAAGCGAAAGCCTTTGTGCATCGTTCAATTTGCATTTGCACGTAAAAAACAAAGAAAGTATGAAACATGGAATTTACGACACTCAATTTTCTGCTTCCCCTGTTTTCTGAAGCTCAGCCGTGATTGGTTGATACCTGAGCCTTGAGCAACTGCGATGTAGTTTTCAGTCCACAACAAGTGGCAAAATAGCAGCCCCCTATGATGAACAAAAAAACGGTGGATTTTACTTCTCAACTAATTCTACAAACGCGATATTAACCACAGTGCCGTGTTTAGTGGGGCTGCATAGAACATATTATTGTAAACATTTTTTGGGGTTGAGTTCCTCTTTGAAGGTAACATTTTCAACACAGCTCTTGTATTGGATCGCCCTCAATTGCACCAAATGAAACGTTCAATGGGTTATGTGGTTATATTATATTTTATTATTATTTTATTATACTCAAGGTAATCCTAAACCTCTTTTATTTTGATCAATCAGCGGACCAATTCTTGTTCTCTTTTATTTACTATATGATGGCCATTTTGTGTTTGCCGGGGCCTGTGACATCATCACACATGGGGTGAATATTGCAGATATCAATCATCCTTGTCTGCGAATCAACGTGGGAGTGAGGGGCTCCATTCATCAACAACAAATGAAGTCACACACGGTTCCATTGGACCGTCATTTAAATCACACTGCCTGTGGTCTCAATCAGAAACAGTTCGGGTTTTGACTTTGATGATCGTTCAAATGAAATGCTTCTCTTACATTAGCGAGGACGCTTCAAAATGATGTGTGATCATTCTTTAATTAGCGTCATTTTGGGCTTTGTCACTGCCACAATCAATCCTTGTTGCCGCGTGTTCAATTGTCTTTTTTTCCCTCCTACATGATGACTCATCTAAATCAGCAGTGTATGCATGTTTGTGTCGCCGTCTGGGTGGGAGCCTTTATTTTGCAGATGTAACAGGAGCCCTCAGGTTCGGAGGGCTGGGGGAAGCAGACTTCTGTTATGTCGTATCTGATTGGCCCGCAGCGGAGAACTTCTTTCTTGTGTTTGATGTGCCAGTCACCGCCTAATCAGAACAGCCCCATCGATCCAAACCTTTTACAAATGCACACGCTTGTGTATTTTGTATACACAGGGCACAAACTTCCTTAAAAGAAAGAATGGGGGTAGTGGGAAGGAAAACCATTTTCTGACTCGCTCATGTTTGCTCTGCGTCCACGGGGTTCTCCACAGGGTCCTGAGTTGCGGAAAGGCAGGAAATATTAAACAATGACATTTAGCTGTCCCTCAGCCAGAGAACGGGAATGGAAAGATAAATTCCGACTTATTTTGATCACATCAACGGATGACTAAGCAGTCTCTTTGGGAGGATGCATGTAGGCTGAGGTACAGTACTTTGTTTAAATAAAGATATGGCCCACGATTCACAAGGGCTGCTCGTTCAGCCAACGTTCGCCATTTCATACTTGTATTTTTATTTTTTTTGTTTTCCCACTCCTTACTGTATAACTGGTTGATGTAACAAAATGATTTTAATAGCCTTAGAAATTTGAATGTAGATGACATAATGCTGGCATGAAGGTGCCAGCTATTCGGACAAAACATTTATTTATATTGTGTTTTCACAACAGCTGCGGCCACATTTCAGGAACCATATTAAACAATATTGGTATATTCAAATTCATGTCCAACGAAACTGGAGTTTGAAATAAAATAACAAACGTTGAACCCCCGTCTGTTGCAGGAAATATGTTTTCCGGACTCACTGAGAATCCGCCATATGGCGGGACCATTTAAGTTTTTGGTAGTTTTACCCTTCCTACACACCTTCAACACATTTAAACTTGTTGAAAAATATATTTCAACATATTTAACTCATTCAGTACCAGCTAATTCTGGACCAAGTCTGAAAAGACGTTTAAAAACGCCTTTGGGAGTGAATAAGTTTAAACACATTGCAAATACAAAACAAACAAACTCCAAGCTTCAGTGCATAGGAAATTCATAGTGTCTGTGAACATGGATGTGCCTTTAAGAGGTGGGCCATGGTGGAGTGCCATGTGACGCCCAAAGTCATTTCTGAGTGTTACTGTCTGGGTGTGAGCCGTGGCTCACAGCAGCTCCCGCTTGTGTATGCTCATTGAGTTTGCCTATGTTTCCGGCGTTTAATCAATGGCCGAAAAGAGCATCGCAAACTGTGCCTTTCATTTCCCACATGCAAGGGCATCTAAAAACGTGAATCTTCTTTGCGACACATCTTGGAACTATTTGGCATCAAGCAATTGTCATTTCATAGTTTAAAAATAAATTAGGTTAAAGTGAGGTGAGCAAGATGAGATGAAGGCTGAGAGGGGTAAATCCAGATAATATTGATTGACTGGAGGAGACACTACACAGACAGTGGTGGTGGGGGGTAGCCGGGGGGGACTCGCAGAGAGGTAGACAAAAGCCTTGCTATTCGTGGAATGGCAGCAGGGATCAAGGCTGCAAAAAGAGCTATGTGCGGTATCCCGTTACACAATGCCAATTTACTGCCTCAGCACTCACTGGCTTCTCCGCAGCCCACTCTGACAACTTCCTTTCTGAGCCGCTCTCCATGTTTGCCTGCCACGCTATTTCTGCTGGAGTAGCTTTGTGTCATATACACTGAGGCATGCACTCATGGTATTGAACTTTAGAAGTGGCCAATGAAGATACTACAGGCTGAATCACAACCGGGCGTTTGTGGAAACGTACGCGTGTCAGGGCTGTCCTACATTGTAAGGCAGCATTTTTGATTACCTCTGCCATACCAGTTTTGTTTTCATTGCCGTGGGTTTGTCACAGCTTGCACAGGCATCGTGACAAGGATTATTTTCACATTAACTGCTGTACTCGCCCTCAACTTTTTGTTGGGGGGGAAGATTACCACTTCTGCTTGGGAACCAAGTCCCGAGTCCTAAACAATCATTCTCCCAATTACATTCCATTCGTATTTTTGAGTTATTTAGAGGTACTGGCTTTAGCCATGTTGTACATACGATACCAGGACAGAAATTTGTGTCGAAGGACTGGGGTGGAACAGCTGTCAAATTTTGTGGTATTCGGATATCCTACTGAAATTTCGAATTTCGAATAATCGGTATAATAATAATTTACCTTTATCGAAGAAAAAAAGCACTTGATATATTCTCTATCCCTATGGGCCAGATTGAATCTTGATGGGCCGGTTCTGGTATGCGGGTTGTACTTTTGACACCCGTGCATTAGAACATAGTGACATTCATTCAGTATACATTAAAAACATTTTACAATGTTTCTGTTGTTATTGAAAATATCGAAAATAATGAGCGATGTTGAAAATTATTTCTGTGTAAAATTATTTGACGATCCAAATATTGATGATAAATATTTGTCTTGATGAATTACATCCGGGTTGCATGAAATTAACCACGAACAGTATATTTGAAAGAAAACATGCCCTTTCGGTACAACTTCAATGTAAAATAGAAGCTATCAAATAACATCAAACCCCATCCAGTTTACACGACTAATTTATTGTTTCGCGAATGCAATACATTCCTCTTTATAAATAAAAGGAGAGATCACAGAGGTTCACTCATTGATTTTTGCGGGTTTAAGCCTTAGTGGAGTTGTGGGCTGTGAGTGCTCCAAATTGTGTGTTGATGTGGGGTCCACATCACTCTGGCATCAGTTCTGCTGAAAGCCTTAATTAGGTTAGAAAGTGAGTGGTGTGTGTTGGTGCTTGTTTATACATGTGTGTGCGTGTGTGTTTGTTGGGCGGTTGGAGGTTGATGCGATCATTCCTTCTGATGTCAGATATCGCCTTTCATCCACTTCCTCCTCCAAAGAGTCAAGTCGCGAGTTTCCGTCCAAGAAGCGAGCGATTGCACTCCCACCTTCCTTACCCTCCCCTCCTCCCTCCCCTTCCTGCTCCCCCCCCCCTTCCCTCTCTCACTCTCTCTTTCTCTCTGCACAGCATTCCACTCTGTCCCGATCACTCACAGCTCTTCTTCTCCACTCTCGTCCAGTGGCTGCACGAAAGGAGCGCTCTATGGTCTGAGGCGAAGCTAGTGGAGGAAGTGAAGCAGGAGGTAAGTCTTTATTTTCCCCTTTTCTTCCACTTTCAACTGTTTCCCCCCCATTGCCCGCACTCTCTGCCACTGTTTCCCGGTTTTTCAGTCTTCTGTTTCTCTGTGTCTGATAGGATATTTCATCTTCACCTCTCGTTTTCTTTCAGTCTCCCAGAGGAGCGCCTACCGCTTGTGCATCTGTTGCTTTGCTTTTCAGTCCGTGCCTCCTATCGCATTCCCCAGAAAGCGCCCACATGCGGTTCTCAAATGACCCCCTCCCCAA